GCCATGCAATGCGAAAATAGGGTGACATGAAGCAATACTTTGTGTACAATAAAGGGACAGGCAAACAAACAAGGGCGGTATATTATTTGAGATGTTCAAAGGAGTAATCCCTTCAGGGAAAGAAAATCGATTCTATATCCTTATACATTGACCTATGCTTTTTCTTTCTTACGTATTTACTCGCGTTCATATTTCGAATCATTCAATAGTTGAAGATAATATTAATTGATTAGTTGCAAATTAATGTCTGTAGCAATAAGAAATATTATTTTGAATTTTTTATTCATATATTTTACCTATTTTACTTTTATAACAAAAGTTCTGCAATGAATTTCTTAGTTTTCTTTTTATATTGGTTCACTACAATGTATAAGTGAAAGTAAAAATTACTAATAATAAGTAAGAATAAACTGGATAAAAATTATAAGATTAAATTTTATATTTTTATATACAATCAAAGAATTGAGTTTAGATATCATTTCCGCCATAGTGGCTAACTAAGACCGCAGTGGTTAACTTTAAAAGTTGGAGTAGTTTCTGTTCTTAAGAATTAATTTTTTGCACCTTTTTTACATAAAATACAGACTAACTAAATACATCTGGTCCTTTAAAACAAAGTATTAGCTAAAAATGCTGAACATTAGTATCTCTGGTTTATAGATGTACATTTATAACAATTTTCAGTTACCAAATTTGTTTAAATTAATATTATAATAAAAATGATAACCAAATGTTATAAATATTAAACATCAAATACAATAAAACATTGAAATATAAAAGAATAATAATAATTCCTTAATATTTAATTAAAAACATACGATTACAAACTGTAAAACAAGTTTAAACAATTAGGTCTACGTATCGTTACGTTCTGTTATACAATTGATGAATAATTCTCTGTATACATTGAGAAAACAATTAACTTGTTATATAAGAAAATCACAATAACATATATAAAATTTATAATCAAATTTTTGCGAAAAATGTGACAGAGGTTTTTAGCTAACTCAATATTAAAATATTAATAAGATAGTACTTACGTTTCGTGTTAGGTTACGTACTGCACCAGCAGTTATGTGACACCCTGTATATACAGCACATATCGTGCCAGTGTACTCGGAGGTTCCTGCACTCGGCGCCGATCGATATTCAACCGAACAAAAAGTTCGAATTTGTTTACAGTTTAGTAACCCAAATCAGAGAACGGCGCGGCGGTCCGCCATACCGCCACCCTTTCTCCCTCTTTGCACCCTTTTCGCTGGCATCCCTACGAAGTCGTCGTTTCCTACTAACACAAACGTCTCTGTTTCTCTATCGTCATCATCGTTGCAGTTCACGAGCGTGTCACTGACACGAGCTCCACATCGAAAACAAGACCAACACCAACAATAACACAAATGCCCAGCGTCAATCCCGGTATCCCGGAAGCACCACCACCATTGTAACTGGCACCGTGAAGTCCTCGTATCACTTTATTTTTCCCCACTTTTCCCTTGGCCGTTTCGTTCTGTCAGACGAGTTTGCTGAACTATTTGCCCATCCTGGCCCCGAATGCATTTGTCAAACGGTGAAACAAATTGGTAGACAGCTCACAAATACTAGCCCACTGCTTACCACGAGTACTGGTAAACTGCCTTTGACTAATGTGTTGTTCATCCTCCGACACGGCTTATGCACCTACTCCACATTCGACGAATTTTATAACGTGTCCATGCTGATTCGGTCTTTGCTCATTCGTTCTCTGTGATTATACTGTGATTTCTATTTTTTCTTATTATTATGTTCTTGTTGCAAAATATGGAATAATGTATACAAGGTCATTCAGTACAAGGCGCTTTAACTTTTAGAGAATGAACTTTTTTTTCTTAGACCGATCTTCTTGAATTCAAAGTTTTATATAGGGATTTTTTCTTGGTGACACAGAAAAGAAAAAATAAGTTAAAAATGTACAACAAAAATTTTCGATACGCAGCTATGTTAATAAAAAATGAATTTTAACAGTTTTGAAATATAAAAAATGTGTTCACGGCATAATAGAAAATAAATGCAACAAAGTTTTCATTAATTTAAAAATAAATATTGTTAAATAGATATAGACATTAATACCAATAGTGTCTATTGCCAGTTATTTATTATACCGCTTTTAATATAGATGAGAATATACATATAATTCAATATAGAATTATTATAGTATTTATAATGTTATATGTAAGAACACTATAAAAGATTAGATTTTCATGTTATATTGATGAAACTCAAAAATATGTTTATTAATGGTAAATTTATATAAAAAAAATTTGAATAAAAGGAATGAGATGCATAATATTACTAAAAGAAATCAATAATAATCTAGATGTGGACTCATTGTGGGCTGACAATAAGTTTTGATAGAAGTGCAGTGTACCATATTAATAACCCATGTAATAATAGTATTATTCCTCTACTAATTAGATATTTAAAAAATAGTGACAAAATAAAGGTTCATTTCTACTCTGGTTTGATACTTAAAAAATGCAAGTTATGAAAAAATGACAAAGACCTAAGCAGCAAATAAAAATGAAAGAAATTCAAATTCTGAAAAAGAAGAAATAGCAACAGATGAGAGATGACTGTTTTTTTCTTGAGGATCACATCGTTCGATAGGATTTAACTGAAATAATATAAAAGATGAAAGGAAAGCCAAATATTTCCCTACGGTAAGATATCAGCCAATTTTGTCGGTCCGTTTTGTATGTGGTCTGCGGTTTACTGTTTCTTAGGAATTAAATACCGTGACTGACCAGTCCCCTCGTAAAAATTCTATTGATCAACTCTTGTTTGCCTTTGTACTAATACATTCAACTTTCCTCTCAAAATTAATTTTCGTTTTCGTAGGGATTATGAAACCGACAAAAGATAATAGCAGAAGAACGAAAACAACAAATTAATTAAGTGGAAATAATACATGTTTCAATAAACGTATTGATTGCATAAGAGTTACAGTTGTGACATAATATCTTAACTAAGCATGTTTACAAATTATTAATTATTTTTGTTTAATAAATTTGTTGTTTTCGTTCGTCTATTATCCTCTTTATATGTTTATTAATTGTATATTAATATTAAATTGTATATTAATATTATATATTATTAATATGCATGTTATGTTATATTATGTTATATGTATACTTGTTTTAATTATTCGTTAATTGTTTCGTTTATTACGGATATTCATTGAAAATGGCCAAAAGATGATGAGCATTTAAACGTTGGCGTAATTGCAATTTTTTTCTGATAGTGAGAAAATATAAGGTCTTTTAGCTTTATTGGAACTATCACAACATTTAATGTTAATAAACATTAATATTACGGTACTGATGTGAATTATACATATATTGAATTACACACTCAGCAATATTATATCAGTGTTTAATAACTTTAATTAACAATTATATTACTATTTATTCCGCTCTATTAGCTTCTTCTATCTTTCAGGAAATCGTATGAAAGTATTCCTAAAATTTTAATGTCTTAAAATACTATTCCTAATTTATTGTTGTGTCATTTATTGTTATAAAAGAAAACTTTAGGACAACCTAATATAAATAATTCACCTTACTACATTAATCGAAATATGAAATAATATTAGGGGTACAGAAAAGTATTCGAAATTTCTTCAATGACTTCAAAGATTTCAATGAAAAATCGAAGGACTTCTTTTAAGAAGGGAATCGAACAATTGCCTTTACGCTGGCAAAATGCGTTAGAAAATGATGGAAATTATTTTGTTAATTAGCATTTAAGATTTCTTTAGTAAATAAATGTTTTTTGCCAGTAAACAAAATTTTGATTACTTTTCGGTACCCCTAATATATTGCCAAATATTGGTAATAATAGAAGACTGTGGTTAAATACTGATAAAATAGAGACCTAATTAGTGACCGATCGAGATGAAAGGAAAGTGTTATGGAGAAAGAGAATGAATTCGAAATATGAAATCACAGTTGCAGGAATTTACGTGATCAGAGGATACTTATTCATACATATATATGATATAACACAGTTTCAACACTACAGGACACTGCGTTTGATTAACCACATTTTATTCAAAACTGAAAATTAACTCAATACTGAAAATTAATTCAACACAAATGCGACTAATACAGTTCATCGTTATAGTTATTACGCAACCAGCTCCTTAATATGAGTTGTATTACTTTCAATAACCAATGAAATGAGCGATACAAATCTAAATTGATTCAAAGTTAAGTAATATTAAGTTCAAACTTTATTTTATAAAATGTAAAAATCTGAATTCAGAAATTGCTACTTATCCGATGCCGTTACACTGATTCTATTTATAAATGTACAAACTTGCTTATTTTTGTTTGTGTTCCAAACCTAAGTCAAATTGCAATTTAAACAAGTTTCAAGTCGAAGTTAAGCTCTAAATTGAAATTAAGTTTCAACCTAAATAATTTTCAAATCGAAGATAAATTTTAACCTAAATAAGGTTTCGAACCAAAATTAAATTTCAACTTAAATAATTTTCAAACCCAAGTTAAATTTTAATATAAATAAATTTCAAACCGACGTTAAATCTTAATTCAAATTTTCAAACAATTCATTGCAACTAATATCGATAAATGCGATGTTACTTATGGGCAAAAATAATTCAAACAAGAAAATTTCTTATACTATTTCTATTCCTAATACTTTCTAATATTTAATATTTCACATAAATTATACGCGAATTATGATCATCAATCACATCAATCTATATGTTAATTATTATCCATTAACTTGTAACTACCACTTCATCACATAAATATCTTGTTCAAGATTTCCAAAATTTCAGAACAGTCTCGTGAAACTTTGAAAAAGATGCAAAAAGATTGTAATCCTAAGGAAAAAACGTGACACCCGTTTTAGCCACATACAGAAGGCTCAAGTAGCTTGGAATTCGCATCATAAAAAGACGGATAGCACATTTACTCACAGCTAATTTTATTATAACTTACGTGTTATGATACAGCCTGTATAAAATCGATCAGAAGAGACGTTCACGTTGAAGCGTAAATACGCGAGTGGCTGATGCCTAAGCGTTGGATTTTATGACTTATTGACTCTCGTTCGTGTTTACTGGACTTGGTGCGACGGACACACGGCGCCAACGTCGAGAATGCGGCCACCTTTGCGAACCAACGTCCGACGAAAACTCACACATCCGTGACCAAGCACGATCGATCGATCTCCCTCCCGTTTCACCTTATTTTTCTATTTCTTACCACCTTGGTGGACTGGATCATCGATATATCGTTATCACAACTTGATCCGTGAATCTTAATCTATCTTCATATTTATATACTTGGCCGTTAATTCTGGAATATTATGACGCACTTACATCATAAATATAACACGAGAAACGGACCACTGTAACCATAATATTTGCTCTTTTTATAATGTTATTTGTAAGAGAAAATGTAGTAAACTGATTAAGAGAGTGAATGTGAGGAAGTGCTAATGCAATAAAGTATGAATATGGCAAAGTATTAATGCGGTGAAGCATTAATGTGGCCAAATATGAACGCTGCAAAGTATGAATGTAGAAAAATATTAATGTAGTAAAGTATAAATATGGCAAAGTATGAAAAACAGCTATGTGGTAAGTATGAATATGGAAAAGTATGAACGTGATAACATGTAAAGATAGTAAAATATAAATGTGACAAAACATGAATGTAACAAAGTATGAATGTAGACAAATGTGAATGAATCAAAGTATTAATGTTGAAAAGTACGAACGTAGTAAAGTAAAAATGTATCAAAGTATTAATGTTGAAAAGTATGAACATGGTAAAGCATTAATGTAACAAAGTATGAATGTGGTGAAGTATGAATGTGTTAAAGTATGAATGTAGCAAAGTATAAACGTGGTAAAGTATGAATGTATCAAAATATAAACGAGACAAAGTATGAATGTGGCAAAGTATGAACATGGTAAAGTATGAATGTGGCCAAGTATGAACATGATAAAGTATGAATGTGGCAAAGTATGAACATGGCATGAATGTCTTATAATCAGACATAGTGCTTTTGAAAATATGACTTGAGAGGAAACGAATGAAAAGAATGTTAAACAGATTGCACTACGAATTCACAAAGTAAAGATTGTATTGTGTTGAAAAAATGATTTGGAATCATATTATACGTATATTAAATTAAATTGTATTAATTTTGTATCATTGCATTGCTACAATTTTAATAAAGTGGAAATATAATACTAACTTTCAAGGAAATATGACAATTGTTGGGGCATCGATTTTGGTAAAATTTTTCTTGATAAAGGTAGAGCAGAAGTAGCAACCTACATTTAGCCGTTTTTATCACAGTATTTTGGGAGATATTCAATATTTAATTGTATGATTTCATTAAAAATTAAGTAAACCGTATGATAATTGATGCGATAGCGGTGTGGTATGTTCTTGGATTAATCTATCGCAGGTTCAAGTCCTCTCAAGATGGATCATGTTTTTTGTTTTTATGTATAATAATTTTGTCTTACTTATTTTCTTTTTATGTATGCGGTATATCTTTGCATGCTTTTTTATTTATTTTCTATTTTTTTTATTTTGTAATAACACTGTTTTTTTTATTTAGTTCTTACCTTTTTTATTTACTTTACGTATATTATTGTGGTTATTTACAGTAATTCATGAAAGCAATCACGGAAACAATGTTCAATCGTATGTACTAATGTACATATTGCAAATAATACAAGACAATTGCGTTAAGTTAAAAAAGAATGAAAAAAATGGAAATGAATAAAAGTGTAACGAATAATATTATAACAAGAAAAAAGAATATATGAAAACAGAAGAATGTTATAGAAGATTTAAATTCGTCACAGAATAATTTAAAAATTTATTACTTCATCATTTTTGCTGCTACAGCTACTGCCATATTATTAAGTAATTTAGTATTTATCGAAATCAAATATTTAAATGTTATATATCTTTCCACATAATGAGCATTAACAAATTATATAGGTTGGTAAACATCCAAATATGGGTTGAGTTAGTTTTATTCTACATTCATCAGAAAAAGTTTTAGCAAGATTGGTAATCCAGGACCTATGGCGATCTCTTTATAATTTTTTCGTTACGGCGGGATTTGTCAAATTTTCATCTTTCGTGTTTTTTATCAAATTTAAAATTCTAAACGAACTTCAATTATAAATTTTATTGACCGTTAATCTATTTTCTAAATATTATAAGTGCAAAAGGTTATTTGTTTAAATATAATACTGAAACAATAGAAAAGCGGAATAATGAAATAGTGAATAATAGAGCAGTAATATAATATTATAGTAAAATTGTGTAGCAATCAAATAATATGAAAGTAGTATGGTGGGAATAATGTAATTAAGTACTGAAACAGTACAATAGAATACTAGAATGGTAAAATAATAAAATTAGTAGAAGTCAAATTACAAGATAGTAAAGTTGTAAAATAATATCATTTTGAACGAAAAAAAGTTTTATTCGGCGACATGATATTGCTTATCAAAATTTAAAAAAATTACAAAATGGTTAAAAAAGTGATATTTTCAGAGTAACCCAACCGAACAATATATATTTTATAATCGTGAAGCAATTCTTAATTAACAGATGTTATTCCTTTAATTGCATGTATTCTACATCATTATGAAGATATTACACTTCGCACAAGTACAATTTACGTGTTAAGATCTTCCGTGCGTCGAATACTGTCACCAGTACGCGCCTATAACGCGGATCAAATAGGATATCTGATTCGAACAGCATATTTTTATAGAGGCACCTTTGGACCTTCAAATTCTTTTTTTAAATAAGTTAGTGTAAAAAATCTAATATAATACAATTTCCAGAATATTATGTATAGAAATCAGTCGTGAACCGAACGGAAGGTATAAAATGTACGTATAACTTCAAGGACAGTAATATTTTTTCCGCAAGCGAAATTAAAAATTCCAATTGATCCGTATTTTTTCTTTGGACCCATAGTTTATGTATGTGAAATTAGATCAAAATGGTACAACGTTTTATTAAAAAAATTTGCAAAATAATGTTAATTTTTAACATATTTTTTAAACAAATAAATTTTTCAAAAATCCACTTAGGCCATATTATTGGCCTTCTAAAACAGCAAAATTTGCATTTTGAATTTTTTGTCTAGGCCTAATAGTTCCCGAGATATTTGCGAAAATAGTTTTTTCAACCCCAACTTTAAGGGTTATTTTCACCACTTCAGAGTGGATGTTTGCCGATAAAAAAAAATACGTGTCAAATATTTTTTCGAGTTCTATAACATATAAAAATTTCATCAAAATCGGCGTGTATCAATTGGGTGATGTCCCTTGTTAGTTGTAAATACAGGTGTACAAAACAATCGAAACAAGTAAAATTAAAAAAAAACAAAACCGAAAGTAATTATCAAGTAAAGTATGGAATTTATTTCGAATAAAATTAATGTTTTGGAAAAAAATGTTAAAAAATGCACAAGAAAATACAAAAATATACGATATAGATTAAAATATATTTTTAATATTAATATAATATTTATTGTGGCATGAATTTTCAAATTGGTTTCGTTGAAAACAGTTGTTATATGAAACAATACAAATTTCCAATTAACACTAGAAATAAAATGTTTTATAAAATACATTTCACTTATTTCTTGTTTACGATAATTTACGTGATTATCAAAATCGTCACTGAGTGAGCGAAAAAAATATTTCCCTTGTTAGCTGTGCATTAAGGTCATCCTGCCAATATCGATCCATAAAATCACCTCTCATCAATTTATAATTAATCCAATGTATAATAATGAAATTAAATTTTAATGCTTAATCAATAGTTTTCAATGAAATAATAAATTCCAAATATGAAATTTTTAAATATAATTATATGATATTTGTTATGACTCTCTAATGAAGTATCTAAGACACTACGTTCATATAATATTCCCTTTTTATTTTTACGAATAGAGTATGTTAATCAAGTTTGGCGGTCAAAAACTGGGACACCTTGCATAATAATACTAATATTATATGTAGATACTACATTGATTATCGTACTTTTAAATAAAAAAGAAAAGAAGACCAGTCTTCTTAAAGTACGAATCTGTTACATCCCCACACGTGCACTGTCAAATTCATGGGTTAATTTGAAACACTACTATGAACAACGAAAATCGTATAAATGAAAGGTTGTCTTTGAATACAGCTAAGAAACTGCAATAACAAACCATTCAAATGATTTCAATAATGATGTAAAGACCGCTTATCTCGGTGCACACAATCTTTATCGCTGGTGGCGTAAGGCTGCGCCAAAGCAATGAATGTCGGAGGAGGAAAAGACAAGTGCCTTGCAAGTTTAGTAAATAGTCGAGGGATTAATGTATCATTGGCACGACGATTCCAATATTATCCGTGATCGGTAAATAAGAACACGATCTCTTTTTTCTGTCCTATAAAAACGAACGAATGGAATGTTGATCAGTGGTCACCTCACCGGAAGCTGCCTTCAACCGATGACTTGCTTGTCCCTCTTTCGTGCAATTCTCCATTCATACATTTGCATTTGTACACTATTAATGGATGTTGTCGAGGGTCGAATGAATTTTAATGTTACTTGCTAATGCTTCTGTTATTGACGACATGAATACGTATCAAGGGCGGGACCATTACTAGCAACGGTGGAAGAAATGAATGTAAACACAGCTTGAAGTACTTGACACAGTAATGAGTATTTTGTAATCAATTCAAGATGATTATATCAGATTGATGCAAAAATAGTTGCGATTTTTATCTCGGCAGTAGTGGAAAATTTAAGAAATTAAAACAATTTTTACTGTAGACATACGATCGATAAAAATCTTAATTTTCCGAAATTTCATAAATCTGCTTAAAAGTCTAAATAGTATAACTCTATGTTATTTCACGAATCTTTGCAGACATTTTACTTTCTAGTTACATTCGAAACAATAAAACTGTCATTGAAACTATATTGAACACTTTTATTCAGAACGTTTTGGTATTAATTTAATTTGAGTGAATAAGAAATAGATACATATATCATAAACTTTGAAAACAGAGCAATAAATTAAAATAATAAATGAATATTAACCTTACAAATTTTAAGTAAAATCTGTGGATGAGAAATGTAATAAATTTTAAAAAGAGAAAACAAATTTATAATTACTATTATTCTTTTTAACATTAAAGGTGGTTCTACCAATGCTCATTTTTTTGTAAATATCTTAGATGTTAATACAATTTTTGTT